CCTCCATGGTAAAATTCTGCGACGCAATGACCAAACTTAAACTGAAAACATTTGGTGGTCTCTCAAAGAAGATGAAAGTTTAACGTGAGACAAGTAAGTAAGTGATAATTGAGATTCATCGTGCACTGTTTGCTCCAATGATCACTATTGCTGAGAAGAGAAAACTGAAAATGAATGTAATTCCTCTGTCACCCCCTCTGAAATTTGCCTCGGGCCTTAAAAAATATACCAGTTGCAGATGTGATACCACAACCGTGTGCGCGAACTATTGAAGGAATAACAATGGTTCAGAAGATAAGAGGCGACCAAAATACATCTGCAGAGGTAGCTGATAGTATGATATCAATAGTTTTGCATGAACGAGCAGAAAACTAGTGCATTGGGGTAGTCTTTGATGTTTAACGAGATAGCTCAATAAATAATGCTGAGAGAGATAGAGCGGCGGGGATCAGAAAGCGCTCATTAATTTAGAATTTATATCTTTGAGATAGTTATAATTTCTGCCATCTCTTGTTGTGGAAGAATGAATGAACTTTGGTAATGGGCCAGGATCCGAAGCTTTGAACTTTATTCGACAGAAATATTCAGTACTTTTTTTCATGTGCTGAAATTCCAACAAGCGCGAGTGGAATAATTGTTTTATTAAAAAAAACGCCCCCAAGATATTAGACAAATCTTCTCGACTTTATTTTATAAGAAGAAACTGGATGTTACAATGTACAGATATTAGATTATGGTATATTGGCTCATATACCATAATGACTAAGCCAATAAAAAGTCTTGAATTGCATTATCCAATGATCAAGTTTTTAATAAATAATAATATTGGTCAAGGCCTTCTCTGCACTTTACCATCCCAAGACAAAGAAAACAGAACTTACCTTAACGTATCTCAGCGCTAACCCTAAAGTTAATCCGAGGCCTGCCTAAAACACTCTAGTTAATCCGAGGCCTGCCTAAAACACTCTACTAAACATCTGCGCAAGCGCCAACAGCCAAAAATTGCCAAACGAGTCTCGTTTTGTCAAACGAGTCTCGTTTCTACAAACGAGTCTCGTTTCTACAAACGAGTCTCGTTTCTACATACGAGTCTCGTTTCTATTCACAAACAAACGAGTCTCGCTTTAATTCGTTTATCGAGTGACTTATAAATCGTGACGACTGAAAATCGACTGGTTGCCCAGAAACTGTGAGTGTCAATTTGTGAAAATCGTGTACAGGTTGTTGTGCAAGCTCGAGAAAGTGAAATCGATCTCGGTTGCCCAGAAAACTAAAATGATCCGTATTCAGTTTCTATGAGATCCACTCGAGTTATTTTATTATAACAGTTACTTTCCCTGTGGCTTGTTGAATTTTGTGCTCAATATTCACTTCGCCTCAGCCAGATAATTGTAAATTAATCAAAGTTTTAGATTTTCAGCAGACGAGCTAACACTTCATTATTATCTTAGGTTTTTGTTCCTTTCTATTCCCAAAACAGGTCATTAAAATTAAAATGGTATGGTGAGTTGTCCGCTGAACAACAGCAACGCAGATGTAAGTGTAGTCAGACCTTTCTCCGAGAATTTCGGAGAATAACAACGTCATCTGATGTAGTAATTTCTCGACCGAAAAATGAACAAGTTAAATTTTTCGTCAGCAGTTAAAACGCTTTTCATACATATGAGTCTTTCATAATCCATAAGCGTAATGATTTCGACTGATTGTAACTGAGTGACTTTTCCAAATCTCTGCAAAGTTCATCAATGTCAGAAGATCTTTCTTTATATTTGCCAACATTTACTCCCATGACACTTACAAGGCCAGCCACCTACAAAAAACCACAGTCGCGTTTTCTCAGGTAGTCAAGAAATTCCTTAAAATACAAAAAAAGTAGATGAATAACTTTGAAACATCATTAGACCCAAAAAATTCAAACACCGAAAACAACGGCAACGTTCCCAAATTACCTCTGAATTGTAATCCATAAATCTTCTCAGAGTGTACAAATAATTATGTTCTGAAAACAAACAACAATAAGCCTTAGTGAGTAATGACACTTCACAAACTTCTAACTGAGACGAGAATAAGCAAAAATAAAAACTTTGTCAGACAAATACGTTTTTTGTTTACTAGAAAATGAACGGAAGTTACAAACGGTCATGAAAATGAGCAGTGAAGAACTCTGTCAGTGGTCATGTCATTTTGCGCTGCATTTCTCTTGTTTTCATTTTCTTTTCTAATTTGTTTCTGCTTAACATTGGTTTTTTCGGATTAATGAGCAAATGGTCATTACGCATCAACTTGAGCGAGAAATTGATACAGTTCGGTGACGAACATGATGCTAAAAACTAACTCCTTCCATAGACCTGACCTGTCTCTGGAGAAACATTTCTGGTTAAGAGTTCAATTACGGCTGTAGAACACTCCAACGCGATGTCTTCGTGTATCTGATAAATGAATGAACCAATAATAAAGTAAAATTAATTATGATTGATTCATATATAAGGCGGTTACAGATTGTAATGAAAAAAGAGGTACTCAATGCATACATGTGTCTCCTGCAATATGTTAATTATGATGATATGAATTAGCGAAACTAATGAACAACAAAGAGAATGGACAAAGAACAATTCAAAAGGCAACTATTAAGTCACTACAAACATAACAATATGTCAACAGTTGTCTCACCTCAGGTTTCTTTAGGCTTCCAGCTGGCTATTCTTGGTGTAAATTTCATAAATTTGCCAAGCTGACCAAAATGATTGCAGCTTGGAGTTCTGGCCACAACCAAAAAGATAAGATACACAATGAAAAGGTACCTTAACTGTTGCGATATTGGAAACTAAAGCAGCTCCGACTGTTTGGAGTTCTGAATCTTTGCTAAGGAGACAGTTGATTGTCACAGCAGGGAGTGGTGTTGAGTGACTGTCACCAAGCAAGGAGTAGTGACCAGGCTGATGGCACTGCAGAACTGCCAGGAAAGACAATATGTATCATCAAGTCAGTGAAATAATTCAAAACAAAACTATGGTTAATGCTATCGTGTTCATAATAAAGAAAATAATTTCATTATCAATTTTTTTTGGTCTTAAGATGTACATTTAGTAGGCATAGCAAAGTTGCAATTATAATCATGATAGCTAATAGATAAAAATTCAATATATAAAAAAAATAGTCAGACTTTATATTATCTAATTAAAGACTTGGACAAGTTAACTCTTTAACTCTCAAGATGTGATTATGAATTCTCACCTCTAGCTGCCACACATTTCCTTGTAAGTTGGTTAGGATAATTTGGTTTTCAATCGATGTACATGTAACAACTTTTATCTGATAAGTTTGAGTATTCTCACTAACTGTTTGGTGGATAATGTATGGATATTATGGGGAGAAGTTACATGTTCATCTCTTCTGGGAGTTAGATGGTTAATTTCATTGAGAGAATGTTTCATTTACCAATTTGATGCACTCAACTTGAAGTTGAACAAGATGAAATGCTGGGGAATCTCCCACATGTCTTTTTCACAGTCTCCTGAAGCCCTGTTCTCAAGGAAACAGAGGTAATGTTAATTTTGTGGACTGTACATGTGTACAGATCTCTAACTAAAAGGAAACATTTTGAAAGTGCTACAAATTCTCCTCCACCTACAGATACATTTTCATTTAATTAAGCTAGCAGGAGGTACAGGTTTGCTTGATACCATAATGAGAGAATAATTGGAAAACAAAAACAAAAAAATGAAAGCACAAGAACATGGGTTTTGCATATCATAATGGAGGGCGGATGTGTGATTCTGAGCTCATGAGTCATTGGACTTGTACTCCTCTTGTGTCTTGTTCATACCTCGTGGAAAGATAAACAAGACTACTCTTTTACCAATGAGTACTTTGGTCCACGCTTCCCGCACTCTACGTCGGTTTAAGTGGCAAACTGGGATTCGAGACTCTGTACAAAATGGCGGGTACACGTGCATGTCACTATTAGAGTGAAACGAGCAAACGTTACAACAGCCTATTATGCCAATTCAACCTCGACTTTTAGACCTGTTATAAAACTATTACATGATGTTGAACTTAACCCTGGACCAGCAAACAGCTCTATCAGAAACAAGTCTGAAAAGTCAAATGGCAATGTGAAGATTGCACATCTTAACGTTCGCTCGCTTAAATGCCGTGAGCATTTCGTTCTTGTAAAGGAAGCGGTACTGGAAAATAAGTTTGACATATTTACCGTATCCGAAACATGGCTCAACAGTTCAGTTACGGATTTGGA